GATCAAATAATTTAATTTCTTTCTAAAAATGCCTAATGTAAGAAAGTATTTTGAGAATAGATTTGGGATCCTCACTATTTGGTTTGACTGAGAAGATGACTTCTACAGTTACTAGTACATGAAGCTCAACCCAGGGTCTAAAATTCAGACTTAGTTACATACTAGCAACAAGGAAGAAACAATAATTTTATGAGTGCAGCACAAATATGCCATGTAGAGTTTTCTATCATTATATTACATTTTCTCATGTACAACACACACCTTTCCCCCAAAATTGGGATGTGTGTTTTAAGCAGGAAAGCTGTTTTCTTCATTGGAAATGGAGCACTTCTGAAGACGCTACGCCTGCCCTACAGCTGCCAAGATGGTTGTTGCTCTTGCCTGTTCAGGAAACTGATGGTGTGGAGTCTTGTGTTAACCTTCTCATAACCATAGCTATTGACTGAGCATTGTAGCTTGTACCTGAAGAAGCAAGTGAGCTGTTGGTAATATTTTGATTAGGCTTGTGATGTTATTTACTGGAACTTATGTAAAGAATTATTTACAGTAAAAAAGTAACAATCTTGCTACTGCCCCAGCATGTATTTTGAATTCAGTGAGTCCTCCAATGTGTGTGGTTTATTTGGGGATGTGCCATATGCAAGAAAATGTGGTATTAGTGCAGCAGATTTGGTGATTTTACTGAAGATGCTAGAGGAATAGATTTACACCTGCAAGCATAAGGAAGGCTCCAGGGTCTATTCTGTATGTGTGGTTCCTAAAGACAGAGAAGGTGTATCTGGATGCAGGCTACTTTGCTTTCTCACTTGTAATGGTCATATACTACCAGGAATCTATTACCAAAAAAATCTTTGCTTCTTTTTTACCTTATTTTTTCAAAGCTTTAGCTCAGGGCTGTCCAACTTTCAAGAAGCTAGGGCTCAGATATATTACGGGTTGCACCAATAAGGGCTGTACCAAGACAAGTCACAGGCCTTTAGGCTGTTCACCACATGGATGCCCCTGCCACTACACCATGTATTTACATGGGCAGCCCCCTTCCACTGCTGCACTATGCAGTCTCACAGCTCTGGGCTTACCCTCTGCTTCCCATGCTGTGCACCACATTGTCCCACCCTTGTGGATGGGGGCAGGAAGCAGCAGCTGGAAGGAGGGAGAGCCTGGAGGCTCTGGCCCCTGTTGCAGCTGGAGCTATAAAGGGAACAGCAGCTGAGCAGGAACCTGGAGCTGCAGAGTAACCCTTTGCAGGCTGCATGCAGCCCATGGGCCACCAGCTGAATAGACCTGCTTCAGCTATTTTAGCTATTTTCTGCATTTCAGCATTCAGAAGCTACATGCATTGAGTGTTGGTTTTGTTTTTTCTAACATGTCATCTAAGCCTTGACCCCCAAGGAGTTAGACCATGTAACAGATTCAGGCATTGTCTATGAGGCAGGAAAATGTCAATAATAGACAAAAGCACTTGTGACTCGTACATTGCTGTCAAGCATAATGTAGTAGGGAGCGTTATGGCTGTCTGCATCCATCTGTCCAAGTACTTGGGCATCATGTATTTCCTCTGAGCCCTACTTAGAGTAGTCTTGGATATTCCATGAAGTCTGGTTAAGTCTGGCTAGAAGAGAATTTTAACCCTTAATGTTAGTGGGTTACAGCTGCTGGTGTTAAAAATGTAATGTTAGTACCATTCAAGTGCCCTGCATCATCTCTATTGAAATTACAGTGTCCTACACATTGCAAGGTCCCAGTGATTGTGGGGTCTTTCTTTTTGAAAATTGGTGGTACGGATCTTCAGGTCATCTGTCAAGGTATTGTTGCCAAATTAGAAACATTGACAGTAAGTGCCTAAAGTGAGACAGCTTGTCTTGTCAGCATCTAATACTGAAACTGAAATTAGAAATCATGATGGCTGATGGTTGGCTTTTTCAAAAGCTGGAGTACTGCCTGCTCTACTTTCTCCTAATCTTACATAAAGATTTCTTGGTGCACTCAAAGTACTCTATTTACTTGAAGCTAAAATGAGATTTATTTTTCCTCCGGTCAGTTTGAGAGGAAAGCCCCTCATCTTAGATTTGCATACAAAGTGGAGGGGGAGCAGGCAGGTGCTGCAGCTCTGAGCCCAGGTCAGGGCCAGAGTCAGACCCACGGCAGTCCCCTGCCCACCTCTCCACTTGCCCTCTGCAGCTTGTGCCCATTCCTCTGTCCCCTTCTGTTTTTACTGGCAGGTGCAGCTCAGCTCTGGCTAGGGCTGGATTTCCTCCCAGGCATAGAGTACAGCTGTGGCTGCATGGCCCAGCAAGGCCTGTGCTTCCTTGTGCTGTGGTGCATGACCTGGCAGGGAACAGAGCCTTAGCAAAGTCTGTCAGTAAGGGGGAAGAAGCAGAAGCTGTGGGGAGCGGGTGCAGGGGAAGGGGAAGAGACTTGAGGAGTTGGAGGGAAGAGGCAGAGATTATGAGGAATTGGTTGCAGGGGGACAGAAAAATTGTGGGGGGGGGAGAGCGGGGACTGAGGAGCTAGGTGTGGGGAGTGCACGTGGCAGGGGTGCAGGAAACCTGAAGGGGGAAAAAGTGGGAGGGCAGAGAACAGGGGTGCTTCCTAATCCCCCAATGGCCTACATGCTGTGTGTTGTTTGTGTCTTGTGTGTATGGAACTGGGGAGAAAATGGAAGAACCTGCCTTCAAGGATCAAACTAGAAAGGCAGAGTTTTGAGACCCGTGTCTGTCTTGTGCTATGTATTAAAAATGAAAATTATCCAAATATTATACCTGCAGAGAAGTAAAATACTGAAGCAATCTGTTACAAAATTTCCTATGCTTTTTGTCATGACAGGCTGCTGAAAAGTAATAATGCTAGAATATATAAAGCAGTAGTAAACATACTGTGAAACTAAAGACATTGAAAAAAATGGAAGCCTTTTTGTGTTTAAAAAAAAATTTGATATGCAAAGGCCCATTTTAAATGGTTTATTAAAATTTGCCCATGTGACCCTGCTGAATGGTTTTTGCATCCACAAGAATAATCCTGACATGTTACATTGAAAGCTAATCCTAGATTGAAGGTAGTAGAAATGGTAAGTGAATAATATAATCTACTTCTCTAATAATTTTCCTAACCATATTCTTATTTTAATGCCCTTTTCCTAATCTCCTATTTTGGCATAAGAAGGGCGATTTTATTTTCATGTTTCTCAAACTGTGATCTGTGGAAACTTGCTAGTGATTTAAAAACAGACCTAGGTACTGTCCATTCCTTTTTTTCCCAGGTTTTCTAATACTCCTTTTCTGTTTTTGCCATAGGTATATGATGTGCATTCAAATTGAAAGGGAATGTGGTTCCCATATTTGAAAATGAGAGAGGAAATTGTTCCCCACAACAGTACATAAATGGTTGAAATAAACTTTGAGAAATTCACCCTTAGTTTATTTTAATACTAAGTGTACATGAGACGCTTCTAATAAGATATGAGATTTACTTGGCAGTCTGTAGTCTTATGGTACAACACACTTCTGGGAGAAGAGAAACCTGAGGAGTGATCCCTGCTGAACCTCTTTTCAGCACTTCTCCCAGGGTGCTAACTTCTAGGGTACAGAGACTGATTGCTTCTCCTTCTGGTCTTATGTTTCTTGCATTCCTGGTTGCCTGGTGGTCTAACTTCAGCAGAAAGGATGGTTATCCCCACCCAGCCTATTCTGTAGCCTGCTGGTTAGGCAGGTGTTTTGGAAAATGAGAGATGTGGATTAAAATACACAGAGTATAAGGGGTGCTTAGAACCCAGGTCTCCCACTCTTGAATCAGTGTTGCGGCACTAAATATCTATTAGGCAAATGATGCCCCTTCATCTTGAGACAAGATTAGACATTCTGAATTGCAAGTGAATTTAGATGCTTCATGTTCAACTTGAGTTGGGCATTAAGCTGCTGAGAAGGGTTGAGGTTCATGTACACCCACCCCCCTATACTTAGAATTTCCTTATAGATACCTCCAGGCACCACCAGACTTTTTGAATTGCCTTTCCAGGGTCATAGTTCTGTCCGCTTTATAGAGCACCCAGCACATCCAACAGATTATCCAGTTTCACTCAGGCCCCCCTATATGTGCAATGGGATCTAATGTGAAGCTAAATGTGCAATGGGATCTAATGTGCAGTTTACACGATCACACCTCCTGCCATGCTACATGTGCAGGTGGGAGCCCCACACATCCTAGTTAAGGGGTTCCCAACTACTGGGGTGCCCTGTGCACCCCCAAGGCTGGAGGATCACACTGTGGCAATCCCCCCAGCCCTGATCACTTCAGATCACTGCAGAGGCAACTCCTGTGCCCTGGGTGGTGTGGGGAAACCCCCAGGGCCAGAGGATTACCACAGGGTGATCCCTTCTGGGGTGTGTGAGAAACCCCTGTGGCCAGAGGATCATTATGATCCTCCAGCCCCAGGGATTTCCTTCACACTTGAGCCCTGGGGATTGTGGCTTCCACAATCCTTGGGGGTCAGGGGTTTTACATTAGGTATGGTGCATCTGTGCAGCTGGGAGCCCAGTCAGCTGACAGGGCCCCTAGCCTCAGGGAAGACCTTGCTACATGTGCAAATTAAACCTCAGTAGCAACCAGTTATAAAGTTAGTACATATTTTCGAGATCTAACTTTACAGCTGGTTGGAGCTTTTATTCTGATAGCTACTTTTGCATTTGTAGCTGGTTTCCTGGTAATTGCACAATTAACCAGTTAATTGCACAATGCCTGTAATGTGTAGAGGGGACCTGAATGTAGGCACTTAAGTCTTTTCCATTAACTATTTTTTGCTGTTACACATGGAGTAAGATAGGAGTTCGCTATGTGGACTAAAATCCTTAAACATCATTTAGCAAGCTTTTTAAAGCAAAGAACTCAAGACTTCTAAATTATAGTGGTTTTGATTCCATTCATAATTTTTAAAAAGGATTTTATTTAATTAAGGTTAATCAAATCATAATTAATGCGAGTCTTGCTTATGTTTTTTTCCCTAGATCTTCCTCAGAACTGTGATCCTAACATTCCCCTAGTTGCTCAGGAATTAATGAAAAAGATGATCCGTCAGTTTGCAATTGAATATATTTCAAAAAGTAGCAAAATTCAAGAAAATAGAAATGGTTCATCATTTGAACCAGGTCTGATATGTAAAAGTATCCAAATGAACCAAACGGAAAACTCCCTTCAGGAAGAACAGGATAGCCCTCTAGACCTCACTGTGAATCGAACTCAAGAACAGAATACTCAGCAAGGTAAATCTTCTATATTTATCTAATAAGACCTTGATTTGTAATTGTTTTTTGTGTAGACTTATATGATAGTTTAAATTATGTCTGGAAATAATTATTCTTTTTAAATGTATCCTGTCTATCCAAAAACTGAGCGGGCAAAAACATGGAAGATTAACTTCTATTTTGACAAGTACAAAATAATTCACATGGCAGGAAAAATAACCTCAACTATGTATACCGGGGTGGGCAAAATATGGCCTGCAAGCTGGATCTGACCCACCAGGCACTTTCATCCAGGCCGCAGCACCCACGAATGAATTATTTCCTGCCCAGCCCTTCCACCCATGAGGGTGGGAATGAGGGTGCCTACACCTGCCCTCAGCGTATCCTATTATGCCTCACTCCTACCTCTGTGGGTGGAAGATCCAGTCCTGCTAGCATGGGATGGGGCTGCTGCTGCAGGCTTTGCTGGCATCCCGCTGCTGCTGGACAGTAGGTAGGGAAGTGAGGCAGGTCTGCAGTTGGGCAGGAGCATGGAGCGTGGGGCTGGGGCTGGCTGCAGCTTGGAGCCTGTGCCTAGGGGGGGCGATAGTAGTGCGGAGCTTGTTTGGGCAGGGTGTGGGTGTGAGGAGGGAGGGGTTATGGGTACACCCCCATACACACTGCCCCCTCATTGCTGGCAGGCAGTGGGGGGCAGCAGCGGGGGAGAAAGAGGTGTTCTCTGCTTGACCCTGGTGCCTGGCTCCTGGCTCTGGCCAGTGCTATGAGGAGTGCAACTCCTGCTGGGCCATTAGTTTCCCCAGTGCTCCTTGCACTCACAGAGCACAGGAGGGAAGGCCCAGGCATTGGAGCAGGGGGGGAGGAGGCGGTAGCACCTGGCTCCTGTGTCAGGGGCCTCCCTCCTGTGCCCCACCAGTGTGGGGAGTGCCTGGGAAGCAAACAGCCCAGTGGGGGCTGTGCTCCTCGCTGTGATGTGCAGAGCTAGCCAGAGCCAGGCACCAGCACCCCCACCTGCTGCTGCGCCATTGGAGAGTATGGAGGAGGTCCCCACACCCCTCCCACTCTCCCTCACACCCTGCAAACCATAGGCACAGGCTTGCACCAATACATCCCCCCCGCAGTGTTGCCTACATTGACTGCAAGAGAGGACAGTGTGTTCCAGAGACACTCACCCACACCCCACAAACACTACAGAACTTCCCCAACAAGTACATCAGGTGTGGGCATCAAGAGCTAGTGGGGCAACTCTTCAGGAAGGTGCCTCAAGGGAGTATGAGGACCAATGGGCATAAGCTAATAGAGGGTCAATTCAGGCTGGTCACAAGAAAAATCCTTTTCTCTGTAAAGGTCACCAGAATTTGGAACACACTCCCTGCAGAGGTGGTGTGGGTCACCATCCTTGGAGGTGTTCAAAATGAGGCTGAACAAGCATCTTGTTGAGCTCATCTAGGCCCAATAACTTCCTGCCCATGGCAGGGGACCAGACTTGATGATCTTACAGGTCCCTTCCAGTCCAGTTATAGTAGGTGGTTGATTTTTAGTTTAGTTGATCTTTGTTTTTTTCTGGTTCTAAGATGGCAGTTCCCCTCTCCCAAAAGGAGTATTTCCAGGGAGGGAGAGGAAGGACTTCTGATGGAAAAATTCAGGGATCAGGGGAGGGACTTCTAGTTCCAAGATGGCAACCAAGGGGCAGGGCACCTATCAAGAGCAGAGCTACATGTGCAGCCCTCGATAGCTCACCAAACCTTGTTAAGCGGCCCTCTGCCCAAAATAATTGCCTGTCCCTGAGGTATACACAATGCTGGGTTTTTTGTATACAACTAAGAAAAGAGACTGTGACATCATTGTAGATATTTCACTAAAAATATTGGCTTAGCAGTGACCAAAAAAAGCCAATAAATGTTCCTTAAGAAAGGAAATGAAAACAGAACAGAAAGCATCATTATGTCATTGTAAAAATTTGTGGTGAGTCAAATCTTGAATACTGTGTGCACTTCTGGGCTCCACATTCAGAAAAGTTATAGTGGACTAGAAATGATGCAGAGAATGGCAACGAGAATGATTAGGGGTACGGAATAACTATTGTACCAGGACTGATTGGAAAGGCTAGGACTCTTCAGTTTGGAAGGGATAAAGCTGAAGGAGAATATGATAGAGATCTATGAAAGCATGCAGGGTATGGGGAAAATGAATAAAGAACTAGTATTCACTAAGTCCCAGAACTAGTGGGTGCCCATTGAAACTAACAATAAAACAAAAGGAAGGACTTGGCTTTTTTTTTACACAGTGCATAATTAACTGTGGTACTTGTTGCCATAGGAGGTTGTAGATGCTATAACCAAATTCAGAAAAGGTTTAGACGAATTAATGGAAGACAAGTCCATTGGGAGCTATGAAATAGAACAGTCAGGGATGTACTGTCTGATATTTCTAAACCAATGATGGTTGATCCCAGGTACAGTGTGACAGAGGATGGTTTACACATGCCCTGTACTTATATTCTCCCTCTACAGTGGGTGCCAAACTTTTGAATAGGCATGCTGCAATTGAGCTCTGCAGCATTCCTAACTGCCACTCTGATTCTTTTTTCCTGCCCAATCTGCTGCTCTTGTTTCTGATCCCTGCCCTGTCTGCCACTGTACTACCTGTCCCCTCGCCAGTCTGCTATATGCCACACACGGGCTGCCCGTGCCACTTGTGACACCTGTGCCATAGGTTGACCACCCCTGCTCTGTTTGGAAATAGGATTCTGAGTTCAAATGATCATTGGTCTAACACAGCATGGCATTTATCCAAAATAGTATTCAATCTAGTAACATAAATCCTATTGTAGATTATGAAAAGTCAGGTGGAAAAGGTAAGTTACTACATTATCTCATCCAGTTATTTTTGAAGACTAGGAATTTTTCTCTAAACAGCAAACTCCTATAGGAAAGCTATAAAAACATTCTTTTAAAAATACGTTTTGGTCTGTGTATGCCATATTTTTTCCAAAAGGTAATATCTTCACACCTTAGTCCATGGCTTCAGCGATTGACTGATGGGAATTGCCCACATTTAGAACACTAGGGCTCTCCAGCTAGTCATGTTTCCTGCAGCTAACATTTTAATGATTTACACAGAGCTGTGCGCTTTCCTGAGTTGGATAGTATCTTTAATAGAGCTATTCTGCTCACCTGTGGGCTGCTTGCTGAAGTAGAACGTATTACTTATTTCTCAGTTATTTTGAATAGGAGGGAAATTCGCTTTTCTCTCCAGTAGTCATAAAATCTAACTGAAAAAGAAATGTGATAGAGCTATTAGTTGTCAGGACGAGATTAGAGTATGATGGCTTAATTGGGTTTTAAGAATAAAACAACAGATTGTTGGGGCTATTGCAAATTTCAGGATTGTGTTCTAGTCTTTTAGAACTGCATGAAACAGGACTTTCTTCCCAAGTGTGAGAAACTGGCCCTGGCTAAGGACAGGCCCATAGCCTACTCAGGAATAGTGTTAAGCAGTGCAAAGCATTCTGCTATGTAGGTCCAAGGTGTTCAGGGGTCTTTGTTGCACTGAAACTAACTAGCAGCATCAATTTTCTGGCTGCCATCAATACAGTTGCTTGGGAGACATAGGGACCTGATTACACAACCTTTGCGCACAGCTGCCAAAAGGTAAACTTTACTCCTGGTTTTGTTATATCTACAGAAGATGTAGCACAATGTTATTTTTCATTTAAACAAGTAAAATCAATGTACTTAGTTCTTTGAACACTCCTCCCAAACAGTCACGTACTAGTTCCCAAGAGCTCTGGTCCTGTTTTTAGTCCAACAGCAGTTTTCAGGGGAGTTGGTGACTGGCATTACATTTACCAATATGAAAACACTAACAGAAGCATCCCGTTTCTCAAGGCTTGTTTTATGAGTTCACATTCTTTCAGAGCACCACTGGAACAAGCAGAAGACTTACAGCATACTTTTGAAAGTATTTATGCCCCATTATGTGAAAAAAAAATCCACACGTTAAAGTTCAGACTCCAAAATCAAGCACTCTAATTCAGACATCAAATAACTTTTAAGTAGTCCATATAACCTGAATTTGGGCCCCATGTGTTTATGGATTATAGTCTTTAGTTATATGAAACTTTTTTTACATGGATGTATCTCTATACCTGTACTTTATCTGTCATTTTTTTGCATTCTAGTAGATTACTTATACCTTCACTCTGCATGTCCCTTTCTCCTGACCAGCATTGAGTAGCATTGAGCGCCCTAAAGATACAGTCCCCCTATTTTTCATTTCATTTGTCTACCTCCACAGTTGCCTCTGCTTTGCTTCCCTTCTGTATCCTGGACTCTGAACATATCAATACAAACAACATCTTCAGGGACTGTATGTGCCAGGATTAGTCTTTATACTGTCTGTGTCTACATGAGACACTGACTGCGCAGTTGTTACTACACCATCATTTAGTACTTGCATACACAAGTACTAAATGACTACGCAGTAACCGAAGTTACTGCACAGTAGCGTCCCTGAATGGCTTTTGGGTGACGGTGACTGCACAGTAACTTGTTACTTCATGCCATGTGATATTAATATGCAGTAGTAACAAGCTATTGCTCGGTCAGCATCTTGTGTAGATGTGGCCACTGTATGTGAACCGTATTTTCTGTAGGTTTGTAACTTGGTGAATTTCTTTATGATCAGCAAAAAGAGAGTTACCACCAGCGAATTTCAGAAACCCATTAAAACCTCTCATTGAACAACAGTTAAGGAATATTTAACTTAAGAAGAACACTGTGTTTTTCTAAAAAAAAACAAAAAAAAAAAAAACTTGCACCATTTTTGCTGGATGGAAGTCAAAATAATGTTAGTCTTAGGCAAATGTGAATTTCTAGATAGGCATAGATATAAAACACCCTACTTTTGGACACCATGAAGTCTTACCATTAGCAAGAAATCCAGGAACACTTTTAAATTACAGATGGACCTCACCAGTTGTACAGGTATGTGTTAAATGGGAGACGAGTGCACTGGAT